ACTTAATATATATATATATATATATATATATATATATATATATATATATATATACACTAAAATATCACCATCATTTCCCCTCAAAGGGCTGTATTTAAGAAGCTGAGAGACTGGGAGACAAGAGAAGAATGGTAATAACTCATAGTGGCCTTTGCCCTCAGTGATGAAACAAGAATGAAGTCACAATACACTTTTTTTTAATATTTATTTTTTAGTTTTAGGTGGATACAATATCTTTATTTTATTTTATTTTTTTAATGTGGTGCTGAGGATCGAACCCAGTGCCTCACAGGTGCTAAGTGAGGCTACCACTTGAGCCACAACCCCAGCTCCACAATACACTTTTTAAAAATTTTTTTAGATGTTGATGAACCTTTATTTTATCTATTTATTTATATGCGGTACTGAGAATCGAACCCAGTGCCTCACACATCTAACACTGAATCACAACCCGAGCCTCACAATACACTTTTAAAATAAAGTAGGAGACATAATATATAGCCAAGAATCATAAAAATTCCTAAGTATATTCTGGTATCTATTTTAAAAAGAAGTACAAGTGTAATGGAACGTAAATAAACTATTCTTCATTGTGACCCAGAATCTTGACACCATCACAAGATAAAATAATTCCTAATCAATACATATGCTTATTTTCTCCTTTTAAACAATTATGGAAGTAAAGATGATCTAAATTCAACTCAATTTACAAGTCAGAAAAAAATGTGTTATGCCAAATTGAAGAAGTCCCATACAGATGCTCACTTACTTAAACCACAATAAAGTTGTGACTAATTATACAAAAATTGTAATCACTTGCTTTGTTTAGATACAGAAATGAATAGAAAATAAATTAAATAATTTATTTTTCAGATAAAAGATTTGAAGTTTGAGAAGATTTTATAGGTTATTTTATAAACATTATATAGATAGATATAGGTTCCTATTTGGTGATTCAACAAATTGTATTAAAGATGAAATGCATAATCAATACCTCAGAGTTGTCAAGCAAAGATTTATTTGAATAGATACTAATTTTTTATCATATATAACATACTTGGAGTATGCCTGTGTCTAATTTAGAGTTGAATTAGGAGACAACAATCACACTAAAATTTTAATAAGTATAAAGGATTATAACTAGAATGAAAGTTAGTTCACTATTAAAAGAAATAGAGTAATGTTTCTGTGCTACAGAGGTATCAAATAAAAAACAGAGTTACTGCCTATAAGCTGAGAGAGAAAGAACAAGGCAAGTGTTTGCAGATTTAGAAGAACCTTTCCTCCTACCCCACCCCTTCACCCCTCATGCACAAACATACCACCATTGAGTTTAAGACCTGCGCATCTCCGGAGAGGTTATGATTACCACCAGAACTCTCATGATGGTTAAATTGCTAGAGTGTGGGGACCTCAGAAAGTAGATGTGGCCTCTGGCAAGCAGAGAATCTTCACAGAGGGTGTCACCTATAGATGAAGTGAACAGTACCAGGTCCCTTACACAACAGTATGCTGAGTGTCAGAGGAAGAATATGGAAGCAAGTGGAAGTTAAAATCCTGTCCTTACAGTATCTCTCCAATCCCTTAAATGGCAAGGCCTAAAATTCATTCAGATGGCAAAGGAGAAGTGTCTACAGTGTCCAGCTTGGACAACACAGGGAGGAAGCAGAAGGGTAGATGTGGAGAGGAACCAATATCTGGCTTGTACCTGCCCCATCATTGAGTGTGGAAACCAATACTGAAACAGACTGAATGAAAATAGGAGCCCCTCTAAAACTGAGAGAAGCTTCCTCATGCCAAGAGTGAAGGCTGAAGAGTTGCCCCCACACTGGCCTGACAGATGCCAAGGAAGCTAATAATGGAGACTACCCCCTGTCCAGGCTTGTCTAGCACAGCTAACACAATATGTATATTTCCTGGCTTTTGATTCTGTAAATTGTAACCATTTCTGTGGCATCAGTAGGATAAGCAATCTAACTGCTTTTCCCCAGGTTGAACAAGCTGCAAAAAAACACAATTTTCTCTTTTCCACATATTGCATATTTCTTATATGAGCAGACAGCTAGATCTACTCAGTCAGGATCCTGGCAGTCCCTGGGTTAGGCTACGCATAATAATACAGTCATAAACTGTATAAGGTCATCTTTTTATGCTTACAGTCACAATTTATAACTTCTTTATTCCTATTTCTAAATTTGGTTACCTAATGTATCAGTCCGAGGTTAAGTATTGAAGTATATGTAGATAAAGTGCATAAAACCTGACACACACGAATAACTGAATGAACTTACCCCAAATGGTACCTGCATGTAACCACCATCTAATGCAAGAGATACTCTATTACTGACACCCTCCAATTCTCATTCTTGCTCTTCCCCAGGGGTACTTATTCATTTTTAAATATTCCCCTAAACTATTTACTGGTTCACATGCATATTTAGTATGACTAATAGAAAGCACAAGGACAAATGATGCATCATTACATAATGGAGGATAAGCAAGCAAGAAGGTACTTTAAATTTAAGACCTATCTAATCCTATCATTCTATATTTTTAAAGTTATCAAAGCAATCTTTAGAAATCCCTGTGCTACTCTTACTTTTGTATGAGGATGCAATAATCAACAATGTCTTTTTTATTCCACAGGGAAAGGAATGAAATATAAATAATACACATCTCCAAATATCCCTTTGATTTTTTTCCCACAGATATAGAGACGGAGTTCAAATTTTTGAAAATAAGTTGTTTTTTTTCCCCACTGCTATCAAACTGTAGCCTAATGGTAGAAAATGCTATATACATTTCATAAAATGACACCAACACAAACAACAACAAAACACCTAGCAATGATTTGGGTTACTAAATAATCTAAATGCAAGTGAAAAAGAGAATTTAAAGTATACAACATATTTTGTTCCTCAGAACTCATAGCATTTAACATGTTAACAAATATGGAATGTTTTTATTTTATCATTTCATTGAGAGTAGTAGAAGAAAAGTTATATGGTAAGCAGAAAATGTCTTATTTTTTTTTCTTGCTATATTTTAAGATGACATTTGGATTTGGGATCTGTTGAAACTTTTTCAGTTGAATAAATCTGACCAGTTATTCAGTTTGGACTCAGTAATCCTGGAGACTCACGAAATCTGATATTGTAAGATTTTCTTATTTTTTGTATTTATAGATTTTAATAACCTCCTTTAATATGTTTCATTATTATTTGCATGTAAAATTTAAAAATCAACTATCATGTTGAAGGCTGAAAATTTAACTACCTAATTTATTTTTTTCCTACCAGCTTTCCACTACAAGTCAAAAGTCTTTGAACTTATGATTAGGCTCCATAGCCTCAAGGTTGTGAGTGTTTTTCCAGAAGGTTTTCAAAAAAATTTTTTTTAAATGCCTGCCTCCTTCACTGGATTCAGTTCAAAATATTCTAATGGGAAGCATACTTTAAATAACCTTGATTCCACATTTTTAATATGTTATTTTATTTTATTGCTCTTCCTAAGTAAGAGCACTTACAATCAACATATTTTTTAAAAGTTTTATATTTGGGAATAATTTGTTGGGTCTTTGTTTCCTGTTATAATGGGCTTTCAAAGACTAAGCAAATTTGCAGATTTTCCAAACAAACACATCTGTACAGGACAGTGTGCTATTAGAAGGTTCCTGTTAAATAATACAATGTGAAGTCTTTCTGGAGTACCCATCTGTTGCATAGAATATGAGGAAGATTGCCAATGAGTTCATTTTATGAAGAAAACTACAGCTCTGCAATAAAAACCAAATAGATTACTACATAAACCATTTTTATTGTTAATCCTGTTGGACTTGGGTGTATTTTCTTGCATTTATACAAAGGGAAATGATGTCAGGAGCTGACCTCTTATTTTCAAAGACAAAGGTTCTTTTTCTAGCTTATATTTACCTTGAATTGTTTCAGCGAATTAGCGCTTCTTGTAATTCCATTAAATGCATATGTTTAAAGTACTTAAATGTTATATTTAAGGTTCATCAGCCTTATGTATAACACTCAGCCGCACTCCTCCTATTTCCTTCTCCTTTCCTTGGGAAGGATATGTGGTCGCATGTACTCCTACACACATAACCCTGATCCGGGTCTCTTCATTCCATCTCCCATCTATTTTTTATTATTATTCCAGGTTTCTTCCTCTTCCTTCCTTCCTCCCCACCTACTCAACCCAACCACCCACTGGAATCCTGAGTTCTGTTCTTCAGTAGTTTTGCAAAATTAGTACTTTCCCGTGGTTCCCCTCAGAACTACTTTGGCATGCCTTAGCTCTCCACAGAGACCACTTGCTCACCTTAGTTCTACAATCATCCTTAACTCCCACTTATCCCTATAGAAATTCAGACCCAGACCTGGTTCTTGCTTTTCCATTTCCCTTTTCAAAGCAAAATATTTCTTTGGAAGGTACAGCTAAGAATCCCAAAAGGCAAAATCATTGAACCAGTGCAGTAAGAGGGCTTTGTATTAAATGAGAATTTTTGCTAAACTACAGTAACACTGAAGTGCGTTATGGTCAATGCCTAGCTGATTGCATTTTCATTTGTAATGTGGAAATACTGCCAAGAAATTGAATCAAGCTCACTCTGACAGCACATGTTACCTAGAATTTCTTGCTGCAGTACAACTTTACTAAGTGACCCCTCATAATTGAGAAGTTTGACATTCTGAGCAATCGTCTGTAGTCTACAAAGCATAATGTAATAAAACAGTGGAAGCCAACCCATTGAAATATTATGCATAACCATCATTTTCTAAACTTTTTTAAAAATTAGAATCATAAGGAAAATGTACTTGTAAAAATTTTATATATTTTCTTGAAAAATGGCTTCAGATTGTCTCCACTTAAATTTTAAATTTTTATTATTAGTTTTATTTGTTTATTCATTCAATAAATACTTAATGAATGCCTGATATTTATCAAAAGCACTTGAGCAAAAGTTAACAGTAACTCTTATTTGTACTTACCATGGGCCATGCGATGAAACCAGTAGTAGGCAAAGTCTACTCCTAAAAAGGTGAGATACCAAGTCCATGGAGAATCCCAAGGCAAACTGAAGAACCTATAGTTCTCCCAGATATAAATGTAACTGGTCACTTCAATGCTCCTGAAAAACAGGCTGGAAAATAAGAGTGACAAGCAAGGATTATACCTCACTTTAGATACTCAATTTTGCTAAAATATTCCAGAAAATGTTTTCCAGTTTATATAGCATATGTAAAAATTAAACTATTTCATTATGCTGCTTCTTCCTGCTATTTCATCACTTTTACAGGCTTACTACATAGTATCAAAATGATTCTCATGATATTGCCTTCTGTTTCATAGCCACTATGGATGCTAGTTGTTTGTACTCTAAAATTTCATGGAATTCAGGAGATCATTCCTTTTTCATGTCCTTTAAAATACTTTTTTCATGAAACCCCTATAAAATATACAAAACAATTAATTTTTTTGTGATTTTCATTTCTAAATTTTAATGAAGAACACAGTAAACATGGCTTATAAAGGAAGTATAAAGGGCAGAAAAATATAGGGCATATTTTTAAGACATCTGCAAATTTCCTGCTGCCTTCAAATATTTTGATTTATAAAATTTACATTCAGATTAAAATAGCTTATTTCTAATTCTATTCTCTCTCCTCTCCTCCCTCCTTCCTCTCTTTCATACATAGTTAGGGTTTTGTAGATTATGTTTAGTATCACATATTGGATTCTTACAGTATTTTAATATCTCACTTATGGAAGAAAAATTAGAGCTTTCAGAATGTTAGATATATATAAATATAGAGGTATAATACAAATATAGAGGTATGCAAATATAGTTAAAATAGATGTATAAGCATAGTTAAAATAATTGTTTTAAAACTGAATAATAAAAAATCTGAATAACAGACTATGCCTTGCCATCTATTCTATTAAATGTTTTATTTAAATAACTTTCAAAAACATAAATAATATACATTAATTTCATATAGCATTTTAAAAAATTTTCTGTGATCAAAATTTCTGTAATCAAATTCAATATTAGATTTGACATAACCATTTGCTTTATTATCATTTTTATAAACTTGAGTGAATTGCCTTTTCCTTTTCTTTTTATTGTTATTAATCAAAAGCACTTGAGCAAAAGTGGTCGTTCTATCTCATAAAGTTTAGTTATAAGTCAACAACAAATTTGGTTTTCAACTTTCTGTGAAATTTCTTAAATATTATAATTTCAGAGAAAAATCAAACCATAAGCTCAGATTATATTATTAAAATTCTTCATTTTAATAGTATGTTCCTTTATAGGTCCAGTTTCTATGAATTAGCATGTTTCTGAGTCATTTGGAGATCTTAGCCTTTATTCTTAACTTTATTCTTGAGTTCAATTATGATGGAATTTAATCATGATTCACTATATTTAAAATAACCTCATATACTTTGTTTCAAGTTATTATCATTTAATCTGCAAACCAAAATATTAGGTGACTTCACAATAACATTAATATGCATAACTCATAAAATGTCAAGTAGTTATCATTTTGAGCAGGATTATACATCATCATATGTTAAAACTCAATTTGAAATTTTAGATTACATAGCTGTAAGTTTTGCTCCTGAGTGAAGTCCGTAACCCAAGAAAATTGATCTTGCTTAACGCAATCCCAACCTGAGCAATGCTCTGAATATACCACAATCCCCTGATAAAGTAGCTTTCAGTCCTTCCATGGGACTCTTTCTCATAAAGTCTTGCTGAGGGTAGACCTCCACAAGTGTCAATCCCTAGACCTCACTATGTTGCCAAGAGTGGTTGTTTTGGGACATGTAGACAAGCAGAATTGGGACAAGAAGTCTGGAGTTCCTATGCATGAGTGATCCTTCATGGGCCAAGGAACACCCTGAGTCATGTTCTCCCACTGAGTATGGAACTCTGAGAAATCTAAGAGCTGGAAATTTAATGACTGCCTTCCAAGTTTTTTTTATCAAAGATATCTGTCAAGGTGAGGAATAGAATAAATTTTATCTTCAAGACTGTTAGCTTAGTTGGTATCTCCATGTATTACTGAGGCTATTGACATTTGTATGCTATTGACATTTGGTCATGAGAATTCTTGCTGTATGACACTGTCTTGCACAAACATTTCCTCCAACTGTGAAATCTTAAAATTGCTCTAAATTGCAATTATTGGAGCATTACCCATATAAAATTAATGTTTTAGTCAAAAAATTATAAATATTGTCAGCTTTATATAGTTCAACCTAATAATTTCTCTAAAGAAGGGATTCTCACTCTTGAAACTGTTGCCATTTAAGGCTAGATAATCCCTTGGTATGAGGGCCTGTCCTGTGCATTATAGAATGTATGCCTTATCCCTGTTTTCTATCCACTAATTTCAGTAGCATCATTTCCCACATCATTTATGACAACCAAAATCATTTCCAGACATTGTCAAATGTTTCCTGGAGAGCAAAATTATCCACACCTGATAATCAGTGTTAAATAAAACAATGAATCAAAAAAGAAAAATTAAAACCTAGAAAATGCAACAGAGAGTTGAAATATCTACAGATTGTTATGTACAGTTCAGTACATGGTATTGAAGCAGACTCATCCATGGATTCATTCAGTCATTCAAATAACCCATATTACGAGTCCACTAAGTTTCAGGCATAGCATGATGAACGGGGCAAACATAATCACCTGCCTCATGGGGTTCTCTTATGTATATCATTTAAAAATTTTTTTCTATGTCCTTTGTGAATTCCAATGACAACTAAAATATGCATTATGGTACCAAGATCTCAATAAAAGAGGGTCCTTGAAAAAACTTTCTTTCATAAAGTAAATAGAACCTGCTTGCAACTGAAATTATTTATTTCCTGTACAGGTGCCAGACCTTGAGCAGTCACCCAATTTATTACTCTGTCAACTGACTTATTAGGGTTGACACAAATCTAGTTGAAATATGTCTGACATAGTATAGTCAAGCCTTTTTTTTCACACTTTAGCATGAAACAAACTTTCTTCAAGGTGAGGGAAAGAGGGGAGAAGCTGTGGGAGTTGTATTCCCTCCTTTCTATCAGCAAGATGAATATGATACTGTTCCATTATTCATGTGAAAGACTAACCAGGCAGTGCCCACAATTAAAGACAATTCACCAAAGTGATATAGCTTGGAAATGAAAAGTCCTTGATTGCAGGAAATAGCACCTACATTCTCAAAAATGTTCCCACCAGACCCTGAATCAAAGCCAAAACTCCTTCCTTTTTTTCTCTTTCTAATTCCTCTGCTCCTTTATCCACCCTAAAACCCTATGTATGACTCTGTACTCTGGAATTCAAACTTGAACTCTCTAAACCCCTTCCTGTGAGAAAAGGCATGTAAAACACAAGTGTATATACATAATGAGCTTACTATATCACACAAAGATGGAATATTGGGTAGCATAGGCTCTTGGAATTACAAATACTAAATACTCTTTATGCATTGTTTGGATGTGAGCCCCCAAAATGATCTCAATATAAAGAGACATTTGAAATCAAAATAGGCTCTTCTCCCATTGTCCTATTTCTTCATAGATTCCCCCCACTCCCCAAATAGAGGTAGTCTTGGATCAGAGATAATGTCTTCTGGCAAATGAAAGGTAACTCACTTATCTAACTAGTGTGATGATTCTTTATGTGTTTTACATAATATTTTCTCTCATTACTAAAACTTTGTCCTGTCAAAGTTCAGTTACTGTAAAAAGCTAATTAGTATGGTACAAAGTTGCTATTTAGTAATGACCTGGGTTTTCAGATAAAGTTCATTTATCATGATGAGATTAAAAATATTCAATAAAGTTGAAATAAATATTATTTGGGAGTTGAGAGTTTCAAACTATTAGTTTTGAAAGTCACCTCAGCCTGAATCCATCATTACCAACAGTAGAAATGTGACACTGAACATGTCATTCAGATTTTCAGTAATTTGGGGTTTAATTTAGGATATGAGAACATTAGGATAAATGAGCCCTAATATTATCTAGCTCTCAGACACTCTCAAACTCTAATCAGTAAGAAAAGCAAGTGAAACTTAATGTGATGCTCCCATTGCAAATGGTTAGCATTTCAAAGCAACTCTCAAGAGTAAGAATTATGTTTCCAGACTTCAAGGCATCCAACAATTTATACTACTTAATAACTATGATCATAATTGTGTTTACTGCCTGATTTAGCCAGATTATGCAAAAAGCATAGAAATAAATTAGACATTTTTATTTTTAATAGCCTTGTCTTGTAAGCTAGAAAATAAATGAATATTTAATGGGACCAATTAAAAAGATTCTTTAAAAAACACTAGTAAAAGATAAATAAGTATGAATAAATATTTTGAAATATATGCATATGTCCATATAATTATATACATATATTTTTCTGAGAAATTTTATTATATATTTATTTCATAATCTCTTAAAACTGACCCAAAAACTTGTACTGCCTTTCTGTAAAGCTACTGCCACTTTTGCTCCATCTAGTGGAATATTGATTTTTGCTCAGTAATAGTAAGATAGATAATAAAACTTCGATCTCCCAAAAACAGATAAAATGTGTACAGTGATTTCTTACTGCTAAATTATATTACAATTCTAAAATATTCACATATAGTTTTTTTTAATAACCATAAAATTATAAACTTTTATAAACACAATGAGGTAAATTTTTGGAAAAAGTAAATTTACTATATTCTTTACAGGAAAATGTATTACTCTATTGAATAAGCAAAGAAGGCTGCATAGAGGTTAGTCTCACAATAATCTTTAAAGTTACATAATTCATAAAAAAGTCTATTTATAAGTCATCTAATATAAAAATTAAGAGGAAATGAGGTATTCTTCCCAGAAAATGTAACCAACAAACCAAAAAAAAATTTTAAGTGAAATTTTCCTTATATGGTGTTTTAAAAGTATTTAAAATTATTATTTGAGCAAATAATCATTTAATATTAATAATAAGGTGCTATTCTAAACATTACCTTCATTCACTTATCTCTGATTGGAAAAGTGAATACTGTTTATTAAATTCATCATCCAAAATGATAAACACTCATTTGTTAGTCTAATGTTGCCAAAAGTAGTAATGCCCCTTATGGCTAATATGTATAAAAACCTCATATTCGATTTTTCTTTTTTCCCAGCCCCACCCTAAGGAGACAAAAGTATTTCAAAGTAGTTTAATTTCCTCCTTTTTTTTTTTTTTTTTTTTTTTTTTTTAATGAACTGAAATGTTTTTGTCAGGAATGGAAAATTCCATAGCAAGCGTGGTCAGTAAAACTGTGCATATGTATGATTGAACATTGCGGGAGCTAGCTCCATACTAAAAATTGGCAGCGACCCATACATATTAAAAGTGGAGTGTCCCCAACTTATTTGAAAATTTACCTACTTAAATTATCCCTCCAACCTATTGCAATTTGATTTATAATCTGCTGTTTCAACAGAATAAATGAACCCATTAAAAACAAACATACTGTAGATATTTATATCGGGAATAAAGCTTCTCTGGGGAGGATGCAATTTATGGAAGCAGAAACATTGGAAGGAAGTAACAAATTGAGGTCCTGGTTCTCTAATGAAGGATTGGAAATTGAGTTCTGGTTAAACAAGAAGGAAAAAAAAAAGATGTGATTATTTTTCACTCGTTAACATTTAAGTCAGTAGCAAAATATGCCACAAGTTTTAGATAGCATTTTTAAAAATAAATTTTGTATCTATTTTGTTAAATCAAATTTAATTTTTATACTTGTAAATTATGACAGAAAAGCAGATTATTTCCATGATAAATTGTGTTTAAATATGATAAATAAAAATATCTATTTATAAATTCAGGACAAAATTCGGATTAAGAAGTCTTCCTACCAGGTTTCAGAAGTGCAAAACAAATGGAGGAATACCCAGAATCTGGTTCTTGGGACATATGGACTTTTATTACAGATCATGGTCTGTCCGACAGGCTTGTAAACAAGATATAATCTTGTCCATGGTTAATATTTTTTCTTATATAAATATTTGAAAAGTGCAGCATGTTTCTTTTTTTATGAATGTGATAAGTTCGCTATCAATCTTTAAGACACTTCAAATTTTATGTAATCATTTAATTGAGATCTTCAAATAAACATTGCTTTTCCTCAAAGTCTGCATACAACATTTCCATTCTATGAATGGCGAAGCGGAAAAACATGTTCACTTTGATTTCCACTTCTTTTTTTTTTTTTTTTCAGGAGCCACATATCTACTTACAATTATTATCCAAAGCACAGCTTTTCACAAGTGAATGGTATAGTCATTTTTTTCTAGCAATTACATATTTTAAGGATGTGGCAAACTCTTGTTGCTAGCGTAGAAGATGAAATTAGTCCCTTGGAGAGGATGTGATCAATGCTGTGTTAATCTAACCCTCGGCTGTTAATGATTTGCACAGGGATTCCCCTTGATGCAGTGGCTTCAGCTGAAATACTATTGTAAGAGTTGATGTCAGCTTCCCCTTCATATTCCCCCCCCCACACCCCGAAAAAGGATTGAGTGGGGTGGACCCTGAGAATCAGCTTTCCATTTCTGCTTATACCTTGTCTTTGTCTGATAGTACAAAAACAAAAAAGAGAAGAAAGTGTTTTTATATTTCACTTTCAGATAATTTGCTTTCCTCTATCTTTCAGGTAAAAGGTTATAGAAGATGAAATTCTTTGCAAAATCGAAAACTACACACATTGCTCTTTATATGGTGGGGGGTGGGGGAGCACTTGCTGTTCATTTTTGAGATACAGCTATTGAAAATATTCGCCAAATTCAAGTTCATAACCTTTTACCTTTCTCTTTAAAGGGTACTGGAGTTAACAGTTTGTGTTAGCTTAAGGAGTGTTAGGAGTAGTGGATAAAGAAAGAGAACTTCATGTTCTGTCCCTGAAGGACAGGTGGGTTTGTTTTTGTTTTGGTTTCTTTCAATAGTTTCCTTCTTCCTCCCCTCCCCCACCCCCCCACCCCTCCATTTCTTTGTCAGGTGTAGAGGATGGAATTAGTGTGTTCCCTTTTTGTGTGTGTTTTTATAAAAGTATGTATTTGATTTTTGTTTTACTTTTTTATAGTTCTGTATCTTTTCTGCTAAGCAGAAATATTGTACTGAGGATACTATGTTGCTTATACTAGTTACAATGCTATGAAAAGAGAACAATCTAATTTCATTTGCAGTGAAAGTCAAACTTGAAAAAGTAAAAGAAATGCTGAATTCATTCACTTTACTGCCTCTCTATGCTCTTAACATTTTTACTTCAAATCAGTAAAATATGTGACCCATAATTGCACCTGCTGGGTTGCAATTGCACCTTCCAGTTATCAAGTGATTTTTATAGTTGATCAATCTTCCGATTTCCAATAACCTATACACTTAATTGTTTTCAGAATAAGTTACAGTAACAAATGTGATTTTTTTTTTTTTTGGGGGGGGGTGGCTACTAAGAATTGAACCACCAAGCCCTTTTTATTTTTTATTTTGAGACAGGATCTTGCTACATTGCTTGGGACCTCACTAAATTGCTGAGGCTGACCTTGAATTTCTGATCCTCCTACCTCAGGCTCCCAAGCCGCTAGGATCACAGGCATGTCACCTCCACACCTGGCACAAATTGAATTTTTAAAATAAATAAATCTACCTTCAAATCTCCATATCCCTGAGTATACTGAACACATATATGTTCACTTATGTTCCCAGGAGATGTGTAATGGAGGAAATTGTCTATAATTTTAAATCTATCCTTAAGGTAAGCTGGGAATTAGCTGCAAATAACTGGACTATCTTCCTCTGATTCCAGCTGCAATGTTCAACCTTAACAATGATTTTTCAGAGTCATTATTACTAAAATTATTACTAGTACTATATATACCTAACCTACTTTTTTCAGAGTAACACTTAAGAGATGTTTTAAGATCAAACTTCTATCTAGACTATATTATGAAATTATATGAAGTCACTTCACCTTTTCTCAAATACATTAAAATTGTACTGACATTTTTTTTTTAAATCCACCTTAGTTTCCCAGTGTGTGGTTCATAGAAACATTCCAAAGCAATGAGCACTGGTCAGAAGTAAAGCTCTTAAAACAGTAAAAGCAGCAAGGCCTGGGAGGTTGAAATGAGAACATTCCTCAGCAGCCCAGAGTACAGGCTTCTGAGGACTGCTTCACCTCTGCTTCTTTGGTTAATCCTTATGCAGTGAAAATGCCCTTCATTCATTAGGGTTCCCCTAATACATCACTAGTTACTCTTTCTATAAATCGGGTCACTTATTATTTACTATTATTTACTATTTATCATTGTCCAATTTTATCATCAACATGACACACTAAGAATATTATTTTCTAAACTTTTATCACATACCAGGCACCATTCCAGGCATATGAAATGAAACTATGAGATAAGTACACCTCTCATTCTCAAGTTGTATGCAAGTGAGCAGGGAGGGCTGGAGGAAAACAGGCCATGATCCTGCACCTGGGGTGATCCTGCACCTGCCCCGGAGTTCATGGGAACAATCTGGGGTGATCATGAGAGTTCATGGGACAATAGTGAAGTGCTGCCTAAGAGAAGGTTGGAAAATGGATGAGGCTTGTTGAGGAGAATGAAGAGAGTGACTTTTGTTTAGAAAAAAGAAATGAATTGGAGGTGGCCACATGGATGGCTTTGCAGACAAAACAAAGCACCTGTGGTGTGCTGGCCAAGCCACATAGCACAGCATGAAAGAACAAAGATGACTAAGGGGCAGGAAAATGGAGGGACCAAAAGCAAGGACAGAAAGAAAAAGCCCTCTGCTGTTTAGGATTTGTACTTTATTCTCAGAGCAATTCAGAACCAGTGAAGCATTTCTATTAGATCCAGATGATAGACATATTTGGCTGCCAAAGGGGTCATACTAGAGGTAGGACTTTGAGACTTTGTAATAGTCCAGACCCTTATATGACTTGCCTGGGGAATGCTGCAGCTCAGGGAGCTATCTGTGTGAATTATAAAATTTTCAATAGAAAATCAGAATATGACTTAGGGCTTGAACTACAGTAATGCAAGGGCAAAATTTAAGGGTGTGCCAAGAAACTCAGAAATCAAGATAAATTATGTTCTAGATTTTTTAAAAAATACCAAGAAAAACAATGGCAAAAATGTAAATAATGACAGGAGCTGAATTCTTTGGGGAAATACATGGAATTAAGCAAGTTCCCATATAATAGGTACCTTTCTCTTCACTCTTGGAGATGCTAAGGGGTTTTGTTTGTTTGTTTTTTGTTGTTATTGATGTTTTATTTATTTTTAAAAAATTATTGTTGCTAAACCATCTAACTTACCTTGGAAGCCGAGACAGAATACCAGCCGATAAGGATGTTAAAACATCATCCACGCGACTTAATGGCTTCCCTTTGCAAACCCAGCTGATGACCAGTTCAAGCAGCATAAAGGAAATGAAAAATGGAGTAGCCTGGAAAGGAAATTACAAAGAAGAAAGGCTATGGTGTTTGATAATGAAATTCTTCCATACTTTCTGATTAGTCCTTCCATAATTGGGAGACCCAGCAGGAGATGTGCACAGACCTATTTTAGAAGATCTTTTCCCATTTGATGGGCAAAGAGATCTAGTGTATTTATGGCATACACTAAATCTGTGGTCAAATTCTAACATCAAATTTGAAAATTAAATATAACTATAGACACAACTATAATAATTGTGCCAGGAAAATAATAAAAGTAGGAAGGACACATACCAAGTTCCAGAAAATACATTTAAAATAAGTTAAGTAACCAGAAGTTTATCATATACCTATGACTGAGTGAGACTCACTAAGAGGATTTCCTTAAGAATAAACCTGTTTCTAGTTTTATATATATATATATAAAAATTACTTCTAATGATGAAATTGAAAGAGTAAAAACAATTTTCTTCTGAGAGTCTTAGAGAATAAGGTAATTTTCCATCTTGTTCAAAACACCACCAAAGTTTCATACCTTCAGTTTTAATTTTATTTTATGCAATAATAGTATCTATTTTGTTTTATTTTATACCATTAAGGCTGTAGTATTGATGAATAAATATTAGATTTTGTTTGACATTATAATATAAATAATGATTTATGAAGATGAGTAACACAATTCTCTTTAAACATAAAAAAGAAAAAGCAATATTGAATTTTGAAAACAATATGGGTTTCACTCATTTGGAGGCTGATCATGAGTTGTGAAGTTTTCTAAACTGAACTTTGGAGAACATACTCTCTGATGTCATCTTTTTTCTATTCCTGGCTTAAACTAGCAAGTGTGGTAGGAACTACTTGACAGGGTGGGGAACTTCAGTATTCAAGTTCTAATTCTGGATATTTCCACTTCCAATCATAGCCAGGAACCAAAAGTGAAAAGTGCCTCTGAACACTTGAGAGTTTCAAAGAAAACTTGGTTCAAGTTCAAATCTAGGAAGTCAGAGTTGGACTGAGTCAAGCTGCTGCATATTCTTCATTCTGCACAATTCTACCTAATTAAAGAGGTAATACTTCATTGGAGGTGGTGAGCAAGTTAAACATTTTAAAATAAAATTTTTTTACAAAGTTTATTGACGTGGTGTAACTGTTTGACACTGAGTTTCTAACTGCTAAAAGCACAATGCCATGGTGTCTAGAAAACTTTTAAATTTTTTATCATATTCTAGAGTAACATATAAAGGAGGGGATTTATAGACAAAAATAGATATTGTATGAGAATTCAATTCAAGTAGAAATTCTTCTTTTGCTTTATGCCTTCAAGAAATTGAATTATTTTTATTGGAATATAATAATTTGAAGAATGAAAGAGAACAAATCCCCAGGATATGTTGACCTTACTTCTTTCTTATTAAGAAAAGATCAAGATTGCTTCTTTCAGTATAGTCTCACCTTTTTTACGTAATCAGGCACCTCTTCTGGAGTTTGGAATGAAGTTTCATTGGGCTTCATCATGTAAAACATCATGCGAACACCCTGGGAAACGGAAACATCCTGTTGGGCTTCTGGGTTCTTCATTCCTGCCCTCCTCTGATTCCCAGCTGGAGAGTATTTGGGATTCAGTGGTTGAAGCCAGAGGCTGAACAAAGAGGACGAGATGTGCTGCACAGCACAAGCCTCTGTCAGGAACAGCTAGAGACAAAGCTCCAGAGAGAGCCCAGCCAGCAGCAGATTCTGTACAGACAGGAAAAACAAGAATCAAGAACAAGTTCAGAGTTCACTGGACACCATCCCAAAAAGGGCGTGTGGGGGAGGAAAGGGAGGACTTGTCCCCCAAATCAAAGACTCACAGTGCAGTTTGACTGTAGCCAGAGTAACTGAGCATCAAAAAATAGAAAATATTTTAAAATAAAACGAAAATAAGAGTGTGCCTTGGAAAGGAAAAGCAGGTAAGGAGAGGTGATAAAGGATGAAAGTTCACTCTGGAAAAGTGGATGGAAGTTCAAAAGTCAGAGCTTATCAGAAAGAGTATTTTATCTCTCCTAGTTTTGAAATTCACAATGTGTTTAAGTTGGTAGCCTCTTCAAAGACCCTATTTCATGAAGGATCAGGGTATTCTACCTAATGAAAGCTCCAAAGTCAGTAAGCACTGAATTTGGGCTTGTTATGTATTTCTGGATCTCAATCCAGTTAACTTTCAAATGTTTGCAATCCAATTCAAGAGCAGATGTTTACTGCATAAGCATTACGTCTTCTCTATTCTCCTAAGCACTTACAGAAGAAGCTGCCAGCTGTTGCTGTGAGACCTTGCCTCTGTCTTCTAGAAAGAGCTTAAGTGATTGTACCTTTTAGGTAGACTAGAGGGTAATTAATTTTCTGCATCTCCAGTGAATATGCGGTGCATGACAGAATAGCCTCAGCCTTTTATCTCAAAGAGCTGTGATTATCTTTAATTATTATCTCATCTTTGAAACTGTTACTTAATGAAGTTATTGATACATAAACATGTTTAAAAAATAGAAACTATAGATAAGCAACAAACAAGTTACCATTCAGAGACACTATTAACATTTTAGTACATTTTAGTCAGTTCTGTTGTAATATCACATTTGGGCAATTAAAAATCACCATACTATAAAAAAAGTATGCAATACAAATCACAGGATTTCTGAGAAAAATAAGATTAGGGCACAACAACCAAAAACTTCATAATTACCCACAAGAAAAAAAAAATTTAGAGCCTAATAAAAATGGAAGCACATTTTTACACATTGCATGATTAAGACATCCATAAGTACTAAACTAAATATAGGGTTTGCATTGAAATAGGCCTGAAATTTGTGGAAATAGACTGTGGAAGTATTGCAGATTATAGTTATGATGAAGTATTAGAAGAATTATCTGCAGTCAGACAGAAAAATTATAATATCATGCACATATATGTGGATGTCATAGTCCACGATAACATATGTGAACTAAGAACAATGGAAGGAGTATAAGAGAAGTGTGTGCACATGTGTGTGCATGAGCTCACACTTTGTGCATAACAACACCATTCAGGTTTTCAGTTCACAAAGGGTGCAGTTTTAAAAAAGCACCTGCTGTTTTTCTCTGACAGAACTACAAATCAGCAAAGATGCATGCTCAAATTTTCTAATCATGTTGCAACAGATTTTCATTTCAAAGCAAGCATTACAGCAGAATTGTCTTTGCTTTCAGACACTTTCTGTTACAAATAAAAATGTACATATTTTATTATCTGTTCTTAATTTTTTTTGAGATTACAAATGTGGGATATGACAGGAGAAAGAAAAATCCAAACAACATAGTTGTAAATAGAGTAAAATTTATAGCACCCCTTCCCTCAAGTCACACATCTCTTCCTTCAGTTTAACAGGGATAACCTTTCTTCCTAGGAGATATTTTTTCATATCATTTTTTCCCTACGAGGACAGTTGTTATGGTAATCATATAAATGTATTTAGACACACACATATGGTTTGATTTTTGTAATGAGCTATATTAGCATATCAACTCTCCTTCTTTGAGTTAACAACTTATGAGGAACATTCATTCTTCCATTCAGTATATGGTTATGTAGCGTGTTTTTAAAATCTTTTTTAAGCTAAAGGCTGAAAGAGGTGTGTGTGTGTGTGTGTTTGTGCATGTGTTTGTATATCAACTAGCTCAAAAATCATTCAAATGTATTATGTTTACAGAATTTAATATGAAGAATTTGTTATGGAGATGACAGAAGAAGTAAAAAGCCAAGCAGCAATAAAGAGGTAATCTAAGGATTAATATCAATAGAAAGCAACCAACATCATTAAGCCCAGGGGATACAAAGGAAGAGATCATATTATTATAGCACAGGGTTTGGGAAGAATTGGGGAACATTGAAACCACAGGGGTTGCCTGGAAGGCCCAGAACTTCAAATTTTGCAATTACGTTACTTAAAAAAAAATTCTTTCCAAGACACTATCTCAGTTCCTCTTTTATGGCTATTTCTTATCATATAGCTTCATGTTTTCTTTCAAAATGTTTGCAGGATTTGGTTGCTGTTCCTTCAATTGTCTGGAATTTGGTTTTGTATTTGGTGTGCAGTGGTTATTCCCCTTTCTCCCTTGTCCTGGTGGATCACCCTTCTCCCCATGCCACCAGTTAGTAGATATTTTCACATTACACTTCCAAATACCTGGGCTATTTCCAGGTTCTCCACTCAGTTCCACTGACATATTTATCTATACTTGTGCTAGTACCATGGTATCTTAATTACTGTCCCATCATCATAATCTTATAACTTTGCAGGAAAATTTCTTATTCATGAATTTCATTTTTCAAAAATTATAAGCTATCTTGGCACATTTGCTAGAAGGAATCTATTTAAACTATTAGCAAAGAATCCCTTCAGCAGTTTAACTGTAAATAACTTAAATTTATGAACTAATTTGGGAAGAATTGACATCATAGACAATAAATTTGCTTTGAACAAATGGACACAAATACATGCTACAATCATTTAAACTTAATTCTCTATGTAAATGATGTCAAGGTTCACTACCAATCTTTTTATTCCTTAGCTTCTCCATTCTCAAGATATTTTTATTCATGTTAATGCATATCAAAAATTGTTTTCTTCTCTCAAAAGGTTACATATATAATTGCATATTTAATATAACTTTGTCATACCAAGATATGTGAAAGACACCTGGCTGGATATGAAATCTCTGGTTTGAATTTAATTATCTTAAAATATGAGCACTCAAAGATACAAGAGAGCAAAGAACCTATATCTAGGACAGAAACAGGAACTCCAAGGTATCTTCCAGATGTATTTCTGTGCAAATATCTCTGTTACCTCTTCCCAGAGTTTCTAATCACTGGGAACTTACTGAATGTTCTTTATTTTATCTGACTGAAGTGGAATACCATGGAAGAACCGATATAAATGACAGACATCCCGTGAGAATGCAAGACATGAAGAACCTGTTTATTTACAATATTCTCATTTGCAAACAAATCGATGCACACATACACATATGCACACACACAAACACAAGAAAAAAATAGGAGAAGATTTTTGTATTTAAATTACATTTAAAAATTGATTAAGAATCTCTGGCAATACTGCTCAACTTGGAGAGAAAAAGTACATAGAGACCCGGCTCCCTGGCACATGCCTATAATCCCAGCAGCTCAAGAGGCTGAGACAGAAGGATCAAGAGTTCAAAGCCAGCCTCAGCAACAGCAAGGCAGTAAGCAATTCAGTGAGACTCTGTCTCTAAATAAAATACAAAATAAGGCTGGGGAACATGGCTCAGTGGTTGAGTGTTCCTGAGTTCAATCTCTGGTATCCCCCATACCCCCCAAAAGCATATTTCAACAGGGAAAGTTTAATATAAAGAAGGATCAACTGTAACAGAGAATTGGGTAATGAAGGAATGGCCAATAAAAATTAGGGCAAAGAAATCTGTGGATTTTTTTTTTCTTAGAGAAATTATATGAGAATAGAAAATATAAGAAGCAACTAAACCCTCAGGGCTGGACTGAGGAACTTGCTTTAACTTTCAGTATTTTGGACTGAAAAAGAACAGAAATAGCTATTTGCCAGGGGTGTCTGACCTGAGGCTTTTCCCTGCAACATTTCCTGAGGAGCCAGGCAAGTTGTTTACTACACTACTTTGCAAGAACATCATTGAAGAACCCATCCATGCCGCAAGACTCCTACAAGTAGGCAGAGAGCAACTAGAGAGTAAAAGCTCTTCTTTCGAAAATGATTGTCCACATCCTGCTCCTGACAAAGGTTGACATCATGCCAACTAGCAAAGAAAAATATTTAAAAGATCCACTTCCATTTCATGAATCCAGCAACCAAGTGTGAATTTGGAGATGAGAGGCAATAAATCAATAACTAGAACAAGACATCACTCTTTAGTATTTATAAAAAGACTTCATCACACTATGTGAGAAGTAAGTGGTGTGGAATAATCCCCATGGTTAGATATCTATATTTTCTTTTGGCGCCTAATATGTCATATAAATATTAATTCTGGGTTCAATTTGACTTCTTATTTTTCTCAAGTTACAAATTTATGCATCCTGAGTGCTTATAGAATACTTTTGTGCCTTTGAAATTAAGTAACTCTTTTTTTCTTTTTTTTATTAGTTGCTCAAGACAATACAATGATCTTGACATATCATACATTTGATTCAAATGGGGTATGAATTCTTATTTTTCCATGTTTTACAGATTGCAGGATCACATTGATTATACAGCCACATTTATACACATACAGCAATGTTTTGTTTTTTTGTTGTTGTTGTTGTTGTTGTTTGTTTGTTTTTAGCTTTTGGCTTTTGGTTTTGCTAGAATATCCTGGGGAGATAAACTCACTTAAAGCTCAAATTCAAATCTTCCTTTCCTTTACAGAAATGTCCTACAATTTAATGTGGACCTGCTATCTTTGTCAGATCCCATCTTTCATCCATACCTGTTGTATGGTCTCTGTCCATTTTCATTTTCTTTCTGAATTCTACTATTCGCTGATTTCTCCAGGTCTACCTTTTGATTTCACTTTAAATTCTGCAAATTATATTATTAATTTTTTTTTCCAAGACATTCTCTCAGTTCCTGTTTTCTGGCTATTTCTTTTCATATATCCTCATTTTCCCTAAATTTGTTTCCTGCTTGACTTCTTCTATTGTATAAAATAGTTTATCTTATTCTTTTTTTTTTTTGGATTAATACTCAGAAAAATATCCTTCAGCTACCTTTGCCACGTCCCTTTCCCTACCTCACTCCCCCCCCCCTTTCTTTCTTTCTTTTTTTTTTTCTGTGAACGAATACAGGTCAATGAATGCTCTTTATGTCCCTTCAAGGTAGATGTGACACTCTGGAGTTTAGGTTTATCTTCTCAGGTGAGCCTGTGAGGGTGTTAGAGGGAGCTAGTCTATAAGCATGCCCAGCTTTCTCTGCAGGCCT